GAAGGACTACCCCTCATCATTAGGCTGTGACGGTGAATGGTCACAAACACTGTGTGGCGTAGCACGGACACCAATGTCCGAGGCGAAAAAAACTTGTTTACATTATCTGCGCGCTCTTACTATGGACGTGGCAAAACGTGTGGGCAAGTGCAACCACATTCAGAAATATATTGTAGAGGCGAAGTGCGACCTGACTCCTGGTCAGTCTCAGTATAAGGTCAAAATGATACATGATGGAATGCTCTCAGACGAGACTTCCCTTTCCAAATCATGCCACCCATCGTGATTTTGGCTGCAGCTGTTCTACGGAAAAATGGGTTGCGCGGACATCCACATTCCGCGAGCACTGGACTGGCGTTGGATTATCTGCAGAGCTGGAACGTGTTCAGAGGGTTTTCCCAAGAGAATCGGAACGGTTATTTCGGTCAGACGACGCCACGGTGCTCCTGTCCGGGCATTGTCACGGCGGCCTATCTGAGAACACAAAGCAAGAGTGGTAGATCGAAAGTCGAAGTTCATGCGTGAATGGAAGGCTCGAAAACAATGAAGAACAAGGTGAGATTATCCTACAAAAGGCAGGATCCGCCCGAGTGTGAACGAAAGAGGGAACTCTTCTCCAAGTGGGAGGAAGCGAAAGAAATGGACTTATAGAATGAAAGTCCGCTCTGCCAAAAGACAAGTTAGAAGAAAAAAAACTATTGTGAAAAAATCGAAATGAAAGAGAAGCGGCTAACTGGGCAAGGTATTTAGCCTCTACCCTAAGTTGCGTGGATTGGAGGCTATAAAACTACCTGATGCACATTATACAACAAACGATTGCAAGGACACATTGTCTCATCTTTATTAAGCCAACTTCCTGGCACGGGAAGTGCTATTGAGGGTCCACAACTAGGAGAAGGGAACTAACCCTCAGATGGCAGAAACAGTGATTATAAATTCGCAAAATGAGGGGTAATTAAATTGGTAAAGCCTCGAATGGGCACTGGATGTTCTTAGAACCCTACAAAGTCACCGGGCCTACCGGGATATTTCCGGCACTACTGACAAAGGCAAAAACACTAACTTATGAAACCTACGGGCTATCTAGCAGAGGCTACTAGGCCCTAGGGACGTTTCGGAATGCCATGGAGGTAAGCCAGAGTCACCTTTATTCCCCAAACCGGGCCAAACTCACCTTACGTTACAGCTTAAGGGATTTCAGGCCAATCAGCCTTACGTCGTGGGGGCGGTCTTGCTTGAAAACGTTAGAACGATTGATACAAAGACACATAGTAGAAGAGCTGGAGAGGTCTTCCCCACTCTTTAAAGATCAACACGAGTACATTCAAGCGGACGATCTTACGGACTCTGTACGCACGGTGCAGTGTCACTGATAGAAGATCAGATCGAACAAGGCGGATATGTGATTGGACTACTGCTCGGATTGGGAGCGTTCAATCAAACAAGCACGGATATATGTGCGGAAGGGGAAAAACGTGGCATACATCCGCTGTGCACACAATGGATCAGAAGTATGCTTCATGACAGATGACTTGCCGTCGAAAAAGGCCTCACTAAGGTGGAAATGAAAGTAGACAAAGGTTGTCCCCAAGGAGGAGTGTTGCCACGCCTCCTACGGCTTTTGGTGGTCGACAGCCTACTAGTAAAACTTAAAGGTCTCAAGTTTTCGGTCACTGGCTACGCTGATGACATCTTGATTTTGGTCAGGGGACCATTTTTGGACACATTGAGGGACCGAGCACAGAAGGCCATCAGTGTGGTTGAAGAATGGTGCGGCAAAACAAACTTGTCCGTGAATGCGACAAAAACGGAATGCATTATTTTCACCAGAAAATATAAAATAATGGAAATCAGGCCCTTACGTATGCTTGGCGTGGAACTGACGGTAACCAAGGAAGTGAAATACCTTGGTATCATATTGGATAGCAGACTAAATTGGAATAGCCAGGCGTTGGGAGTACTGACCGGGTTTGCCCCCTTCGATCTTCTGATTATGGGAAGGTCCTATGTCACAGCCCATAGGCTGTCTTCCAACGACATTTGGTCTCATAAAGGCAATCATGTAAAGGGTTGAGGACAATGTGTATTCTTAAACCACTTGGCCCAGCGGACACTATCCGACACCTCTGTTTTGAAAAGAGGTTTAGGATTAGCTTGTCTACGGGTCAGGTAAGCTATGATGCGAACCTGGCTGAACTCCTGCTAAACGGCGACATATGGTATACGGATGCAACAAAAAAGGAGGACAAAGTTGGCATTGGAATTTATCGCAAGAGAGGAGGTACGAAGAAATTCTATGCTATGAAGGAACATACCACAATCTTCGACTGCCATCTTGAGGTGCGCCAGGATGGCCTTGGAGGAGATAGTGGACTAAGGAAGATGCTCAGATGTGTACATATGCACTGATAGCAAAGCCGCACTACTAGCACTTGATAATATGAAAGTGAAATCACGAGTGGCCAAGGAATGTATTGAGGCATTGAACCATCTGGGAGGATATTGTAACCTCCATTTATGGTGGGCACTAGCTCACGCAATGTGATCGAAAGCCCTGGACCCTCTAAAGGTGTTATCATGTCCACGATTCGAGATTGGTTGGACAAAGAACACTTGAAGAGACGGCGTGAACAAGATGGAAATAGACAGGCCAAAATGGCCTTGGGTAGCGAACTACACCGTGAATGAGCGAAGGAATTCGAACTTATGTCCAGGCGAGATGCAAGGCTGATCGTGAGTCTGCTGACTGGCCATGCGCGCCTGAACTTTCACCTGCCTAAGATGGGCCTGGTGGCACCGCCCTCGTTTCGATGGTGCGATGCTCATCCGGAGGAGGCGCTACATGTCCTATACCTTTGTTCTGGTCTGAGTGAGCGAAGGCGTGGGGTCTGTGGTGCCTCCACCTTTGATCCTTCGCAGCTGAGAACAATGAAACTGTCGGAAATCATCAGAATGTGGATGGGCATTGTATCAGCCGAAGTGGAGATGTATTGATATCTTCTGCTCAGGGTGTCAGAACCGCCCAAAGGTGGTACCGGGTTGGCTGGGTCGGCATATCAATGATGAGGGAACAAAGGGCTTGCCCAGGTTCACTGGTGTTGTTAAAACCCCTCTACCCCTTTATTATTATTATTATCATATAATATATACAGTATATAATATGTCACCTAATCAGTATAATAAAAAAATGTGAATATTCATAATTTCACATAAAATAGGATTATTTTTTGGTTTGAATGTTGGTGGTAATACAGATTGGACCATATAAACTTTGAATAGCTAAAATATTGTTTGTATGTAAATCTAATAATCCGTGATAAGCTCACTATCACATTTCTATAATTTGTGTTCTATACGATATGTATGATCCAATTTCATGAAGACAGACATAGTGGTGTATTATTTTCATCTCTATTATAATACTAATCTTCATCTAAATCAATATGGATTTCTAATGAAGAATTATTTGCATTAGGAAATTTAGTATGTGTTAATATTCCACCTTTTCCATCAAATTTATTGGAACTCATTGGTTGATCATGTTGACAATGATATTCACAATGTTTATTTGATGTAATCATATCAAGCTATAAAATATCTCTCTGATGCAGTTAAATCTAATATTGCCTTATTTACATCTCCATAATACCATTTTATTGTATTCTTATTCCATTTTTTGAAGATGTTTTAAAATTAGTATCATGCACACCACATCGCAGTTGAGTTAATGAATCTAATGTATCAGTATTTAACTCTATCTAATGCTAATTGATCCTATACTTGAAATTTAAGAATTGCATCACTATCAACATTTTCAGAATTATATCAATATTTGTTAATTTTCACTAGTAGCTACTACCATATAAACAATACACAATGCGAACGATAATAGGTTCAGCCACATTTATAATATTTTAATATGATAATAATTCCTAGACTATGCTTTTATTCAAAAATTCCTAGGCCAGATTTTATTTCAATAATTTGTAGACCAGATTTTCATTCAATAATTTCAAATTTCTTGTATCAGCAATAGGACGATGTTAACGATTTTCCACAAGTGCAGTTATTTTTTTATGCATTTTAACATGATATGTTGCTTGGTTCAGTTTCGATACGTCCATTTAAAAATGGGATAATTGTTTATGATTTCCTTCTTAACTGATGTTTGTAACGAAACTGAACCAAGCCATATATCATGGTAAAATTCATAAAAAAATAAGTGAACTAATGGAAAATCATGAATACCCTATTGCTAATATAAGGAACGTAAATACAAAATATGGAAATAATAAAATAGCATTGGATCTAAAAACTGATAAACAATGTCAGCTGTTTACTGTAATTTTACCTAACCGATATGCTAATTCTTTAAAAGAAAACTATAGAAAATCTTTTAATAACTAAGAATTTGAGATTAGTGTATAAAGAATTTATGACAGGCGATATTATTGAATTACGTCTTCTACATGACTGAATGTATGAAATGATAAAAACGTGGTCTAGTGTTGAATTAGTTAAAACATATAGTTATAAATTGTAAAAAATGAAGTGTTTTGAAATATGTGGTCTAGAGTTTAAAATAGACCTCAACGTGTAAAATGATGTTATTTTGGATAAAATATGAATAAAAATGAGTGTTAATACGATTTTAATGAAAAGGGAAAGATTTAAAAATCTAAAAATTGTGGGTCTGAAAAATCTTGCCCAGTACGCCTCACGCCCCATTTCTATACTTCTGCTTCATATAGTAATTGCACGGTTCGTCATCTTGGTACTGACGAAGGGAGGGAGAAACAACATCGGGATTCTGCCAGTCCAAGGTGCGAGATGAAATCATACTGCGTCACAAGGGCCTGGCCCTTGGAATTCACATGACTCGTGCATGTGGAAGTGCCCAGCGTGGAGTTGTTCTTTTTCTTCTACTGCATTGTTTGGACCTAGTCTAGTTTGTTTCGGCTTTGGTCGGGTTGAGCTGCTCCTTCCACCAGCCTGCAGGCCTGCCAGGATCTGCACGTTCCTGAGGCTGGTAATTGAGCATTATCTGTATACAGTAAAAAGTATACAGTACAGGCATAGTGGTTGATAGAGATACTCGACAGGCGTTTGTTTCCCAGATTTTATAGTTTCCTTGGTAATATACTGATTTTTAACATACCATGTTTTTGCAGCACAAGTGATTTATTGTACCTTTCATTAATATCCTTTTAATACCACATTCATAACCATTCACCCATTATCCCTTCTATAGCGGAAGCGAAAACAAAACAAAATCATTATGATCACATGCACAGGAAAGAAGAAAACAAAGACCTGCTTTGCCTAAGCTCAGAAAAGAGTATGGCATTCATCACAAATTACTTGCATATCCTCCCATTTCTCTTCTAGAAAATAAGAGCAACATTTGCTTGTTGGAGATTGGGCATTGTGGTGGGTGATATGGTTCACACCTCTCCAGCTTTGGGCTATACCTTAATTTCTGTTGCCAAGACAGGTCTTGGAGATAAATGTGATCCGACAACATCTTCAATCTCATTTTATATCATCACATGCTGTTTTCCTTTGCTACTCATTAAAGATGGAAATTATTATATTTGTCATTGTGCCCTATACATTTTTTTTTTACGAGTACAATTAAAGAATTTTAATTTTCAAGCATACACAACATACAATGACATTTTTTTTTCACACAATTGATCATACAAACTTTCTTAAGAGCACAGGATCAAAACAATATTGTAAAGTGGATTTGGAAAATTTTACTTAAGAAATTTAATTAATGTTAATAACCGTATTGACAGAATATATTGAAATGGACTCTTGTATCACAACAGAACTATTGCTGACAATATTGAGTATAGATATGTAAACATACAGACAATACATAAATAGAGTATTTTAATCAGATCCATATTTCGTACATCAGAAATTTTCTTTAACATCTGCTTTCAGATCTAATACTGTATACAAACAATATAATATATAATAATATGTATTGGCATAGAAACTGTAAAATAGATTCACACTTCAAAAACAATTTACAGCAATTGCAACATAATGTCAACTAGCATTTTTCTACATCAATTTTTGTTTAGAATATCACATTTATAGTATTCATATTTGCTGAAACTTGGTACAACTTAAACATTGCATTAATGGACGAAATTTATTGCATTATTCATTATCTTTTTGCTTTCACTAAAGCTTCTAATCTCTGGCGAGTTTTGCTGTCGTTTTGGCATGCACATCTGACTAGTGCTTTCAGCTGCTCAGACGTGTATTCATCCTGCAAAAGGAAAGAAAAAAAATAATTTAAGATTAACATTAACATGTCAAAATTCTGTTAGATATTTTTCTTATTAGACCAATAGACATGTTATACTATTACTGAGTGAATGAATGTATGAACACATGAATGTATGTATATATGTATGTGCATGTACATTAATCTAGTATGTAAGTTTACTTATCTAAAAGTTAGTACATAAATAGTATATAAATGTAATTTGATTTGTATTATATGTATGTAAATGCCAGCTGCAACAGCTAGTCAGTGACAAAATATATATATATATATATATATATTATTAGGACGCATGTGAGTAGGTTCGTCGTGAGAACGCCAGTGACTGAACGGGTGAGCGCGCGCGGCGCAGTTCAAAAAAGGCGCGCCCGCCGCCAAGGAAACTTGCCCGCGGTACCCGCTGGACAGCGCTAGGAAGATGACGTGAAATCAGCCGGAGAGGGGGAGACGCCACGCTACCCCTACATCGGAGGGCGCGTAGATAAACACGCGAACCCGCGAGCGATAGCTCTTTCCGTTCCCATTCGCCAAGCCAGCATCACTTCGCCTTAGATATTGTCCGCCGCAGCAACGACTATGTTTATTAGATGTGAGTGTTGGACGTCGAATAGACGCCTAGTCAGCCTCAGCCGCGAAATATCATAGTTTTCCGGAAGTAAGTAATTCTTCGGACCACGACACGGGGAGTGAATTTACCTGTTATTAGGAAAGTATAACGAGATGAGATCTAGTAAAGTGCAATCAGCCGCGAACGAGGCCTGCACGACCGGAACTCGCACGAGTTATCCAGTGAGGTGCAAAAGAAACATTCGCACGGGCATAGAAAAAGGCGACGGTCCTAGACGACGAAGACGGAACTGGACGTAGGAGGCAGAAGAGGACGGAACCGGGCGTAAGAGGCAGAAGAGGACGGAACCGGGCGTAGAAGGCAGAAGAGGACGCAAATGGGCATCAGGCAGTCCCGCCATTGGCATCGCAGAAGCCTGGGAGCGAGCGGCGTCGACGCCGAGGCCAGTGCACGCGAAGGACAAACGTCGAAATCCAGAGGAGGTAACGGTGCGTGAGCACCGCGATATGTAGGTCAAGTTCACCTCAGCCGGGGGAAGTGGGAGGGAAATAAGGACATGGGAGACAAAATAATAGAATTCTAAGTTCTAGCCATTTTGAAGCACTATTGCCTACAAACAAATTGTAAATAGGTCATATCCAGTCTTGTTATTCATTGCCACAACGAAAATTGTGTAAAGAGTGGTGCATTTGCACACATTTTACATTGTTTGAGGGAAAATTATAATTTGTAAATTGTGTTCATATTTTGTGTAAATAGGAATAGTAACAGATTTAGTCAAGCAGAGTTACAAATTTTGTTATTAGGGTGATTATTTTGTGAATAGATTTTTAAGTTATTGAAAGTGTCTCGAAATTGTGTTTTTTTTAAATTTGGTGCGATTTGTAAGAGAGGAAGTGGTTTTTTGTAAATCATTAAAACCAGTTTAACTGATTTAAGTGTTTTTGTTCTTGGATTGGCTCTCAACACCCCAAAAGATCCCACTGCCCTGTGATATTATTAGCTCGCAAGAGCATGATATCTGCGAACCACCCCAACGGGCGATTCAATGGAAGTTAGGGAGGGGGGTCGTCTGAAAATATATAATTGTTTTTTCGTATTTCTACATTCTGCCGCTGGGCAACATATGCCCAATTGTAGAATAAAGTTTCTATCTATAATTGATTATCATCCGTAAGAAGCTAAAAAGCACACGGAGAGAATTCGTGATGATTAAGATGATTAAGGTTTATGGACGCTTTAACCGGCTGAAAATCGTCAGAAGAGGCTCATCTCAAATTAGAAGCCAAATAATTGGCATAAGAGATTCGCCATTTCCAAGTACCTGTACTGGAAAGCTAGCAAGGTGAAGCCTTCGCCGGCTATCTACCTTAGAACAGTGCAGGGGTGCAGGTTCAGGTGCAGGTTCTCCACGGTAAGATCCGTATCGCAACAACCGCAAGTAGGGGTGGGTCACCGCGGAGATGATGTCCGTGGGAGTAATGACACTGACCAATCCGAAGACGTGTCAGAATTATCTTCTCGCGTCTTGATCCACGAGATAAAGAGGACCAAGGCTTTACGGAATCCTCGATTCTCGTGATTTTAAAGTCTGAGCTCTGCCACTCTGTTTGCCATGCGCTGAGAATACGATTGATGAACAGCTTGGTATTGTTTGTTGGGACTATGAGGATGTCTACCTCAGTTCTCTGTGACGAGCATTGCTGCCTGGTCAGCAATTTCGTTCCCTATTATCCCAACGTGACCTGATATCCAACAAAAAAACAAATTATAACGACGAGCCAGTAAATTGTGGATTCGGTGTTGGATGATTGTCAGAGGATCACAAGGAGAGAAGCAGTAGATAGATTCGAGCGAGATTTTTGAATCACTGCAGATCACAGCTTATTTCAATGTCATCGATTCAGCGAACTTAAGTGCCTCCAAGAGCGCATATTTTTCTGCAGTATAAGCGTTGTACGAAGAGTCTAGTCGAAGATTCCGCATGGCACTGTGACAGTAGAATGCACACTCTACATTATCATTCTGGGAGGAACCATCATTGTATATGAAGCTATAGCCAGGATACATAAATTTCGTTTCCTGGAATTCCGCCAGAAATGTACTGGGGGAGTTGAGGATTTGGGGTGCCAGGGTTGACTAGAAGATATAGTGGGAAACGTGTCACAGCGCTACCCCGCCGTGGATTCCCCCGCTCACCCTGGAGTTCAGAACAAGTCCTAGTCCGAGCCGATTGATCGCGAGTGGATTAGATCTCGACTGCCTGTCTACACGAGTCAGAGGCTAAAGCGGGGATGTTGAAAACCTATAAGGAATGTTCCCAAAATACGTAAGCATCGTATTCCTAGTGCAAGGGAGAAAGTAGCACAAGGAGTAGTTGGGAAACAACAGGTTCCTCAACTGCCAGGACACACCTTCCCTCCGACACCTGTACGAGGGCATGCTCCTCGGTAAGATCCGCCTCACAACCATCGCAAGTAGGGGAATGGTCACCGCGGGGATATCCGTGGGAGAAATACCAGTGATCGATCCGAAGGCGTGTCAGAATCTCTTCGCGCCTAGAGCTGAGAGATGAAGAGCAAGGCTTTACGGAATCCTTGATTCCTGCGAGTTAAAAATCTTAGTTCTGCCACTCTTTGCCATCCACTCAGAATAGAGAGTTTGATAAACAGCATGGTGTCATTTGTTGGGACTGTGAGGATGTCTACCTCAGTTTAATCGTGGCGAGCTTTGCTACATGGTTTGTCATTATCTCATGACAATTTCGATTTTCATTGTCTCAACGTGGCCAGGGATCCAACAAAAAACCAAATTATACCTATTATACCACAGCAATTACTGATGGATTCGGTGTTGGATGATCAGTCAGAGGGTCACAAGAAGAGAATCTGGAGAAATTCGAGCGAGCTTTTTGAATCACGGCAGATCACAGCTTCCTCTAACGTCATCGATTCAGCTAACTTAAGTGTCTCCATATTTTTTTCCGCAGATAGCGTGCTGCACGAAGAGTCTATTTAAAGATACCGCGTGACACTATAAAAGTAGACCATCAGTATATATGAACTTATAGCCGGGATACATAGATTTCGTCGTCTGATATTCCGCCAAATTGTACTGGAAGAGTGGAGGATTTGGAGAAGTTTAATAATCTCAGGCCTATTTTAGGCCGGAGAAGCTTCCAAGAGGGAACGACACTTGGGGGTGGGGGGCACATGAACGGGTAAATTTATATCGAGTTTCTACAAAGGCGTGTAAAAAAGACGCCCGGAGGATGGGGGAACGATGGTCTGAGTGCGAACGATGTCATGAGACTTGGGTGATAAATGCATGGCGCCAAGGAGTGTTTGTAGCGAATACTTTCGCACCGGAGCCGATTACAATATCTCGCCTTCGGCTCGGAGATGGTTCACCAGCATCGACCAAGAAGCATCAAATGCGACTTGTAGAGTAGGCGCCATTGGTGATACGTATATCGGCGCTGTGTATGAATGGCCGGAGGGTCTACGGAGGCGCTAACCGATAAACACATGCTCTAAGAACGGAAGGATGATGGTCTTATACAGGCGCAAAAGACATACTCGGTCTGCGCCCCATCATCTACCGGTAAGGATGCGAATGAGGTTCAATTGTGATACACAGAGGCTCTTCAGGTTTTGAATAAGCTGGGCCATGTTAGACTCTCGTCGTATATCAGGTGAAGGAAAGTGATGGATCCGACGAAGGGAAGTTGATAACCCCCCAAAACATCAGGATGATTATGGAGGTGATGGATTCCGCAGAAGTGGATGCAACTAAATTTGAAGGTGGAGAACTTGAATCCAGTTTTATCGCTTCATTCTTGCAATTTGATGACAAGCTGTAGCTGTTCCTCAAAGCGCAAAGGGGTCAATCAAGAGCGATGCTTTCACAGGATCCCGAATAACTAGTAATACTATTGATAGCAAAGGCAAACAGGGGCACTCAAAATATCGATACCTGGAGAACACAGTTTTTAACTGATAACTTGAGGATAATTTGTCACCAAGGCAGACGCGGAAATATCTTGACGAAAGAAACTACTAGAAACGAAGGGAGCCGTGCACTAAAGCCACAAGAATGTGAGGTGCGAAGAACCTCCAGGTGGTGTCATTCGCTTGCTCTACGTCGAAAAAAATTGCTACAACGTATTGTAGCACGAAAGAAGTGGTGATCTGTGTAGCAAGGGAGCCTAAGTGGTTCAAGGTTGACATCTTGTGCAAAGCAAAAAGTAGCACAAGGAGTAATTTCGAAACGAGTACGTTCCTCAACTGCCAGGACACTCATTCCCTCCGAAACAGGACGCCATGCACGGCAAACATGGGTGGGGCGTAAGGCGTTGAAGCATGCGGGGGGGATGATATAGAAGGGGTAGAAGAAAGACAGGATGGACGATGGAAGATAAAGATAACTGGTGAAAGAAAGGAAAACTTGGGAGCTTTCTGTGCATTCCCGTCAGGACGTGGACAAACCCACATCGACGGGCAGTTGATAGATCCACTTTTGGAACGATATGTTTGTACCAGATTAGATTTTAAAGATGAAGGAGGAATTGCGTATCTTGTTCTAGCAGTTTTCAACATTACGTTATGTATATTGTCTGGCCCAGGAGGTGTGTTTTTGATAAAGATATGGCGGAAACTTTTTCTGTACCACACGAAAAAGTAAGGCGAGAGTTATCCATTCTTCTGGTAGGGAGGAATGACTGGGTATTGCAAGCTGAGCTCGACATCTCACAGTGGGACGCAAATTCGTTATTACATCTGGCGAGATTTACCCCTGCCCCATTCACTAAAAGCCCGGGAACTGCAGATGATATCGGAAACTGCAGATGCAAGTTCCTTAATTTTTTCGTATTTATAATGTAATATTATCCACACTGCTTTTGGATGAGTAACATGTAAGCGAAGATATGTAGGCTCCCTGAGAAAGCGATTTGCTTTCGCGCATAACTTTTTTCCCTGAACTCTAAACCGTTTTTTTCTACGAGGTGTATGCCTTCTTCCAAGCCTTGGTCGGAATATTCACCATGGTCTTGGGGGACGCGTCTGTCCGCCAGAAGACCTAGGAATTGGAACTGCAGCAGTGACGATTACAGCATCGGTGAAATAGTGTATGTTCTCGAAAGGACCATCAGTTACGGAGATCTCAAACTCTAGTCACTTCGCTCGCTAGAATATCCAGCGAAGAGATCGAGTGAGAGATGGAACGAGAACAATGGTATGCTGGATAATGATCACTCTCGGATAATTCGAATCCAGCCCAGTGAAGGTTTGGACCGACGGATTGACTGCAGTTTGCTAAATCTATAAACGGAAAAGTCCCACAGGCAACTGGAAAATGAGTATGGACAACTATGTTCAACAGAATAAGATTGTAACTCGCTACGGCGATGTCCACAATGGCTCCTCTAAGACAATTTCGAGATGAACCCCATGGAGCGTTGAAATTTCTAATGAAAACGAGAGGTTGTGGCATTTAAGAAATTATATTTGAAAGATCTTCGTCCGATAATGCTTGGCCGGGCGGGATGTAAATGATGCAAACTGAGAAAGAGGAATGGGAGGTGGACACACGTGACTTGGAGCCTGGACTGGACCAGCAAGGCGATATCGCCTTGGGCACGGAAACTATCACCAGCATCGAATCTAAAACTGAAAAAACTGAAGGATATAGTATGCCTGTGTAAAAGGTGCGTTTCCTGAATACAATATAGGGGAAGTGGCGGGATAAAATTAATGGCAGGTCTTCCCAATGGGCGCCAGTCCATGATAAGTGACTGACGGAGATAATCAGCAACTGTCTATTCAATGACAATATTACGAGCTGGACTGTAGTGAAGATTCGGCACTTTGTAAATCATTGTTTTACATGTGAAAATAGCTTCGAACTGGATCCTAACTTCGAACGTCTAGCCCTTCGATTGTCAGTTCCAGCTCAGTATTGTCCACGAGTTAACATTCTAATATTGCAAATAATTGAGATTAAATTACACAGAAAACCAAATAGGCACCTTAATTTTATCATGTAATATTATTTGCCCCATTTCTTTAATTTAATTTTACATAGAATTACACACATTTTACATTTACTCCCTAATCTAAAAAAATCGTCAATATGATATTAATAGATTATTGCGATCTTCTGCGCATGCGCAGTTCAAGTTTCGCATCACTATTGTCCATCTGCGCAAGCCCAAGAAGATTGATAGTGCTGTTTGTTATGGCGTGCACAAACTCTTAATATGCATTGATTCCAAATTAAGAGATTCATCTTACGTAATCGATTAATTTTCACACGTTTTATTCTTTATTTAAATATACATCCCACACATGTACTCATGAGGCAAACGACTGTCACAGTTTAAAACGAAAATGGTCGTAGAATGTTTAGAAACAGAAACACCAAGAATTGTAATCTAACGATGCACTTGGTTGACAATTCTAGGAAAATAGCAATTCTGTCTCTCATTTCATACTGAATAAAATACAATCACTAAAATATTAGAACATCCATAATGATTTTCCATTTGATAGTTTTGCCAGCATGAAATTAATCGTGTATGTTTGTTTCATGTTTTGCAGTGAATTCCGTCGCTAGTTCAAAACTATAATGTCCTTTCATATTTTGCTCGTCTTGAAAACTGATATTTTATCATAAACGAGCAAAAAATCGGAAAAAATTAATCGATGTCTTCATTAATCGGTATATAAAATAATCTAACTCCATTTTTCGATTAATCGTATAAAATAATCGATTGTTGTACTAATCGCGATCAAATCGCCCATCCCTAGTAGCCACCCACGCCTCAGAGTAAGGGTCCCCAGAAGAGGTAAATTTCCAAAATTGTAAAAAAAACACAAATTCGAAAGGTTCTCTTTTCGTATAATACAGTTTATGAGACAACTTTGACCCCACCAGGCCGCTGCCATTTCCCCACATGACCCTCCAAAACTCATGTTCCGGGACACAAAAACCTGGTTTTAAGGATCTAGAATGCATTGTTTTCGTTTGCAGTATTTTGTTTGCTACGACATAATCTACAAACTTAAATTTCTCGCCATTACTTCGTAAGAAGAAAAACCTCATAATCGTGCATCATAGAACAGCAAAAAAGAAAAACACTTATTGTCGGGCCCTGGTAACGAAAAAGTGGATGAATCTTGTTCCTTCACATAGTACTTTACTTCAACACGTGTAGTCAGAATTCATGTTTTGTGGATACATGATACTGAAAAATCTATTGACGGATCGAACAAACAAACGAACTCAAAGCTTTGGGAGTTCCAAACTGAGATTTTGGTTTTTTTAAAAAATGGATCCATATTTTTTTAAATTTTTCCCCCGTTCTTTTAATTTCCCAAAAAATATGAGTAGTTTTCACGTAATGTTGCGTGATTTTTTAAAAGTTTTTTAAACAATTTTTACGTTAAAATATTTTCTTTAAATGTTTTTCTCGCATGTAACAATATATAGTAAAAATGGTGCTAGTCTCATTTCCGGCGAACATTAAACTTTCGAAAATTGCAAAATTTTAACATTTAAAAATTACGAAATTGAAAGTAGATATTTTTGCCTTAAACAATATCTGTTCTTCAAAAATGGTTGTGTTCAATTTTTTGAAGTATTTGAGTAATGTTCACGTAATTTATGGCTGAAATTAATGTAGTTTTTAAAAAATTCTCAAAAACAGCTCCAAATTTTTCTTCAATTATTTTTTCTACGGATCGATCTAGGAACGCTTGACAGAACAGTGCAGGTCTAATTTCCGTTTAACTCTCAGAATTTTTGAAAATTGCTGATTTAGAAATAATGCCACAAAGTATGTGCTGTCATAGTTCCACTAGTCCCATTCTTAAAAGTGTTTGATGCAGGGCTGTGAGAAATTCCTTAATCGAACAGTAGCATGCTTACGTCAATAACAGCTTACAAATGTTTGTAAAAAACAAATAACTATCATATCCTTAACGTATTATACAGAGAATAAATAATAATAAATATTATATCATAATAGTTAATAGTTAAAATATAACAAGTACTTACTAGCTTACCAATTCACCATCAATGAAAGTAATTAATTGTAGAATCTTCTACTATGTTATTTCAGTAGTACACAGGAGTTTAATAGCTCTCACATACAACTTATCTTTACAAATAAGGTCTCTAAAGGAGGAACTTGGAGACATGACAAATTCCACTGTAACTTTGAAAATATGAAGATTGTTGGGGAAAAAAAAAAAAGAAAAAGCATCGGAATATTCCTGTCAAATGCAATCCACAATACTTAGCGCTGTTGAAATCTATAAAGTTCTACAACTCAAAAACGAGTTCTAGGGTTTTAAAACCTGAAATTTTGAGGAGAAAGGCCTCAACAAAACAAAATGTTCCTCACACTGAAATCTACAGAATGAGATCTTCCTGTGTAGTGTATTATATTTTTGCTGGTTCTTTGCTTCCCAATTCTAACCCACCTGCTCAGAGACATGCACAATCTGCAACTGTATGTGAAATTTAACTAATTACTTGATATTCTATACAATTGAATTGCACTGGAGTATGTAAGTCTTTGTCCAGTTAAATAGCTAAACAAGAATAGTTATAGAATAGAATAGTTAATAATAGTATTGACACGCATGTATTGTACTGTTATGTTAAATTATGTTCACTTAGTACAATTACAAAGACACATATATAATGAGTGAAGGAGGATCCTGCAAGAGTACCTAGTTTCCATATACTATTACACTGATAATTTCAGAGCAATTGACTTTTAAATGAAGAGATAAAATAAGAAATGACATAGTAATATAGCTGCTCTATCTTACTTCTGTAACATTGCATTACAGCTTATACTTTTGTAAATATAAATAACAACATTATCTTATACAGGGCAGTCTGCAATTTGGAATTTGTTTCATTACCAAAAAACCCAGAGCAATTTTTAAAATACTCACTGTTTAAATAATAAAAGATATCAGTAAATTATCATTGCACTTACACAATGCTCCTGAATCCAGGCTTCTAGAGTCTTCTCTGGCATATAATATGCTTTTACATAGTGTTCAACTTTGGCATAATGGTCAACAAATTCACTTTTGGGAATCGGTCGTACAGATGTAAGCTTCTCCAATTTAGACAAGAAGTGGGTAAAGTCCAATTGCATAAGGCCTCTTCCTCCAACAGAACACTTTTTGGCATTCGAAAACCTATGAATTGTAAAATGAAAGGCAAATGATCATTAAGAATTGATGATGATGGTGATGAATATAATGATGGTGTACTAACCCTTCAACAAATGTGTTGCATATTTCATGAATAATATGCTCCCAAAGAATATTATAAACTTCTCTAGGGATAGGAACATGTGCCACTATTCCTTCCAATCGCATACTGAATATCTGCAATTCCTGGAAGATTTTATTTATTTATTTATTTATATA